AAACTGGCTTCAAGATTCTACAATTTTACCCGGCGGCGGATCCCTTTTCGCAGCGCATCCCATATTAAATCTTGCAACTCCCCTTTGCAAATGTGAAGAAGTGTGAGGAATTTTGGGGAATTTTTTTATTTGTCACGCGAACTTGGGAAATTCTGTATTGTCTAAGGAATGTGGTAGTGGATCCTGAAATATTCTGAAAGTATCCAGTCAGCATTGCACTAGGAGAAAAGCTGTGAATTTTTCTAACGAGAAAGCTGCTGCGGAGCAAAAGAGTGCGATCAAAAAAACGTGGAGGTATAATCGTTTGTCGCTCCAAAATCGTGATGTAGACAAAGTCCAATGCTCTCTTCATTATTCCTGTTACTTTTTGTTGGAATTCTGAATTTCGCATCATAGTTTGAATTCAATTCACTAAGCAAGCGCACCTGATTAGCCTCTTTTTTCGAGAGTTTTTGCGATTTGCTTGTGATATAATCTTTCTTATTTGGCCAAAGCAAGAGTCACCAATCTATAATTCATATATAACAGGTATAGAATATTGGAGAAGAGGTCATGCACTACATACCAGCTTAATTTGAACCTTATATCAATGCTAGTGGTATAGTTACGGTCCATCGCGCTTGTATGCTATCGGTATCGTTAATGTTCTTGCGCGCTGTTATCACTCGTTTAAATGGACAGAAGGGAACACTTCCAAATCAAACTTATTTTTTTATCTAATCTCAAGGATCTTGCTCACGTATGGGAATCAAAAAAACTACAAATTTGCTTTATATTTGGGGTATTTTAGGAGCCAAGCTGGAGGGACAGTGCTTTTTCCGCACCCTATACATAGCTAATTTGTTCGGATTACTCTTCGGATTTTTATCATTTTCATTCATTCTAAGTTGGATCACAGCTCGACTCATGCGGTTTATTCGTTTTGAAAGAGTAATTAGTAGTTGTGCTAGTTACAGATTCATGAATCTTATTTTGTCACATATTTCACATTTGTTTCTGCTGCATCTATTACCGCTATGATTGGGATTGTTAGTCTTAGGTGGTCTCCTGTAATCCTATTTTGTACGCGGACAACATTTAACATATAATATTGTAACTTTGATTTGCAGACCTGATTCCATTGAGTCTGAGAGGGCCCTTCCAAGACTCTTATGCGGTATTTTTATCGGAGATTATCTCTTCCTCGGCTAAGGCAAGCCAGTACGTCACTTAAAATGTGGCGTGTTATATCTCAGGTTTGACCCTGGATATGATTTGTCTCTTTCCGGGGGCTTTATGTAATCGCCCGTCTGGGTAAGTTACCGGTCAGGTAGTTTCCGCTCCATAGCTCGATGCTCTGGGGACCTGAATCCTTCTGCTTGTCGCTCCTGTTTTGGAGGCTCTATTACTCTAACATTGTAGCACAATGAATAGCAGCACTTTGCTGTATAAATTGAGATAATTCGTTATTTGTATGATTTCGAACGGGATCTCCCAGCTGATCACGCTCATTTTCAAAGTCATCTAATCCGCAAAAACTCATTGAAGATGTCACAGAGTTTTGCCGTCGATTTATTACTACAGTGCTGCGCATGTTTTTAGTAGCACAGATGATGGCAAGTTTTGAGTTTTTCGATCAAGCCCAACTCGCGAGCACAGGTTCATCGAAGATTTTGTCAACTTGATTTTTCACTTATTTCTTTCACAAACATGCATAGCACTGTCGTAGTAAATCGACGGCAAAACTCTGTGACGTTTTCGTTGAGTTGCGGATATAAATGACTTTGAAAATGAGCCTGATCAGTGGGAGATCCCGTTTGGGATCATACAAATAACGGATTATCTCAGCTTATACAGCGAAGTGCTGCTATTCATGTTGCTACAATATTAGGGCAGTAGAGCCTCCAGAATATGAGCGACAAGCAAGGACACAGGTCCCCAGAGCACCGAGAAGCGAAACTATGAAGGAAACTACCTGTCCGGGTAACTTACCCGGACGGGCGATTGATACATACCTCCTCAGCTCTCCTTCCCCCTCCCCCCCCTCCAGCGATAGTGTACGTGCTACTGCCCTAATAGGCCCACAGTGAACCCCGTTAGCTCAGCAGAACTGAGCTGACCCCTCAAAAGAGCTTTGTCAGTCAATTACCGTTCAAATAAGTTCAATTCAGTTTCATTCAAGTTCAGATGAGAGAAGACCGCCTCATTATGTGAGGTAGCCACTTTACTTCGCTGCCCTTATGCTGAGAACAGGTTGTAAGACTGACTTAGTTGTGCATAAGCGGAGAACCATGCAGAGATCACATTAGTTGCTCGTGAGTAACTTACGGGACGGTCGAAGCAGAGGTGCGATAGGGGGAGCCGGGCCCTCTCCAGGTGAAGGGGGTCTCTGCTACTCCCATCCTTGTAAGGTGAAGGGGTAAGTGAGCCCTGAGAGCAAAATGCCCCAACAAGTTACATACCATTCGAAAACTGAGGTCATATAGAATCGACATAGACCGTCGGCTTTTTTCTAGGTCATTTGTGCCGCAAGATATGAGGGATCTTTTGTACTTCATGTGTCAAATAATTTTGTGTCCTCACTTTCTGCTCTCCAAAAGAATGGTACGAGAAAGTCGACGGTCTACGTCTGCTAATGAAGACTTGCTTTGTAACGCAGATAGATAACCAGCAGTTTAGGTCTTCGTTTGGCAGAAATTTGCTGTTGAAAATGAACATGATTTCAGGCAAAATGCAGTGTATCTCTCGGTAAAGGGAGGCTAGAAAGAATTCGACGGTCTACGTCGAGTCCCCTTTTCCTGAGCTTTCGAATGGTATATAGACTGCTGAGCGAAAAAACTTGCCAGTTTTTAAAAATGATGTGGAGGTATTTACTATTAGCTTGCTCCACCCAGCTCCCCCAATGTATTGGCTTTTATCGGTCACCAGAGCAAGTGCTTTTTAGAGCCGGGAAGCAAAAAAGCCCTAACATGCTTTACACCGTTCGAAAGCTGAGATTATGGAAAATCGACATAGACCGTCTGTTTTCTCATAGCTTCTCTGTGAAGCGAGATACGAGCAGTTTTATCTAGCTACAATATCAGCCAATTTTGGATAATTATATTTTCCAACCAAGAAGGTCTTTTTCGAACTTTTATATATGAATCGAAAGCGTGAAAAACGAGTAATCTGACTGTTGTTTTGTTTGTTATTAATCTCTCTAGTGAAAAGAGATATGGCATGATTTCTTGTCATTAAACATGCATCCATCGCTAGTCGGTTCAAATTTTTCTACTCTTGCTCAACTCTTTTTTGCAAAGTATGTATTCATTGATACAATGTTAATTATTCAAAAAAATCACCTTTTACTTTTTGATTACGTTTCGTTATCAGCGCCCTTTGAGCGCGCAGAAGGTCTCAAGCATGCGTTTTTTAACGAAACGTTGTTGATTCGATACTCTCTTGCAGTCTTGATGTCTGAGGAGAAGAGCAGCTGGCGTTTCCTTTCCAAACAAAAGTTCCGTTGTAATAGCTGTTTGCCTTGATTAGTCTCAACCTCAGGTGAAAGGGGTCAGCCAGATGCCGGCCCTAAAGTGAAGGGGGTCAGAGAAATTTCTCCACCTATCGCATCTATGGCTAGGAATGAGAAAAGTAGAGAAATGTTTTCCTCTTTATCTTCTACTAACTGTGATTTTCACTGCGATTTACGATTAATTACTGAAAATCCGTTTTATCTCAACGTTTGCAAGGCGAAATCTTAGTTGGCACCTATCAGTATCGCCACCGAAGTAGCAAAAGTGACATCACAAGGCTTGAACCACGACCTTCCTGCTTAGAACGCTGTGATCTAGCCATTCGGCTAAACCTGCGCAAATCTTTTCTTTTTCGAAAACGCAGGAATTTCTCATTCTACAAAGCGCAGAGGCTCCGTAACAACTTAGGCCGCCTAAGCCAACTTGCGATGTCAGTTTACTACGGACTTTTCATGAAGTTAAACGGGAAGCCGCTCAAAATCAAAACTTTGTTAGATATTCATGGCTACTTTGTAACCTGAGCTAAATTAGGGAGATTTAAGGAGTGTGTGAGTTATGTTAGATCTGCTGATAATAGATACTGATAAGAGATAGTTTAGAGCCGCGATTACATCTTTAATAAAACTTTGAAAAAACTCAATTCTTTTGCGGTGTTAGATCATCATGTATGTGATGTAAAGTCAAGCCCTTAACATTCTGAGTTGCAGAAGTTGAATTTATGCTGTAAAAGCAGGCTGAAGCGCATTCGTCAAGACCAGCGATTACGCCAAGTAGTCACGAGCCTTTCACCATATTTATCGGAAAGGCTAGTGGATTGCATGTTCTCATCTGGAAAGAAGTCAAATTCCCTCGATGTTCAGTTCCTTTCTAAAGCGAATTAACTCTCAATACAGCGAATGTAAGAAATGTAGCAATTCTTAAGGCGACTTCTTTGCCACGCAAAACCTTCGCGTTGTACGACGTAGCTGTGAGGGGAAAATGCAGTAGTGTCTGAAAAAGCAAGGGATTTCTGAAAGTGTGTAGCTTTGATTGCTTTTTTAAATTCATATATTCTTCGTCAATGAGTTTGGAAACCGGCGTGAAAAGGTGGTACGCTGATTTGTCCTGGAACACCAATACATCAGACAGTACCATTAACAAGAAGGCAGTTAAGGCATTATTCAGGGTGGATCCAGTGTGTTTAACGCTATATTAATTCCAGCAAACAATTTAGGGTACCAGCAGGACTCAGTCCTTAAGCGTGTCTTTCTTAAGAGCGCACTTTGATAATTTAGTACTTTGGAAACGCAAATGGCTAGCAACAATTCAAATATTTAGCGAAGAAAAATTCTACTAGAGCAACCTTGTTTAGGTCAAAAATATTTTACGCCTTTTCCAAGCATGCACATACGATTTTTTTTTGACTGCAGCACTAGGTGCTAATTCTCATCTGGCATACATTGTGATTTTAGGAGTTCTCAACCCGCGCGTGCGAGTTTCTAAGTATAACGAATTTCCTGAGTACAGTAGGTGGGCGCAGAAGTTTTATTGGCAAAATGAATGACTGACGTCTTTTGAAGGCAAAGCTATGCCGCGCAACTGCGCATGAGAATGAAATATTGTGGTTGGAGCTCAAGTTACATGCAGAGCCCAAGACCACTGTCACATGTTCCACTAGGACAGGCGGAGCAAGGATTTCCTATCTTGTACAGTACTTCATCCGGGATATTGCCTCTGAAATTTTCTTACAAGCTCATACTATCGAGTGACTGCGTAACTTACTTTGGTTTGTATAGACATATGACGGTGTAAGAGGATGAACATTTTGCGATTGCACATCCAAGATAGTTGGTTCTTGACCAAGCGATCTGAGAAAATTGAGATAAATGATAGCCCTGTGCCAAATGCTACAAGAAGTTTTACGCGATTTTATCACTATTTATTATTTTCCTGCTCAGTCACACGTGCTGAGTTTTATCAAGAAATAAACAGCATCGGAAAGTTTTTCCTTTTTTACCTGGGTATAGGTTTCTATAGCAGTGCCAACATGCTTGCTACGAAAGGTCACTAGCATTCCTGGCCCCGTGTTGTCATGGCGAACCACTTTCCACCAATTCGTAACGGCCTAAATATTTGGCTTCTTTATTTCACATCAACTTGAGACAGAACTTGCCAACCTTCTTTACTGCATCTGCGTAAGTCGCTACGACACTACTCGATGCAAATTTGTCAAAGTTTTTACCATATGTACTAGCTGTTTTAGTAGAAGGACATGTTCGCACTTCCTCAATAGCGGCCTTTTCCAAATCGCAGTCGAGTACCTAGAGGGATTGGGGTTGATCGAACAAGACAAGATAGTTAACAAACCAATTTCAGCATATCTCCTCCCTTTGGTAGATTCTTTCCACTGGGTCTTTGTACTTGGCCTTGTACTAGGATACTTCTGCAGATTACACTATGATTACACTAAACTATTATATTTTTGCGAAAAAAAGTCAAAAGTTTCAATCATAGTCTCCGTTCAAAAACGGAGCTAAGGTGAGATGTTGCGTGAAATTGACAAAAATTGCATTCCTACCTTCTATAATTTTGTGTGTCAAGGAACCGCGTTCTCAGGTCGTCTGTCATCCCACTATTATCCTTGCACAGAGTGCTAGTTCCTATAGTAATAGTATGGCTAATTTTTTGACCTAGTTCCTCCAAATATCTCCTTTTCCGAAGTTTCTAGTTGTGGTCTCGTCAACCTACTGTTTTTGGTGAATGAAGGCAAAAAGAAAGGGGAAGAGCATATCACACTATTTTTCTTATTCAATTTGAAATGAGAACAACTCTATGTTGACATTATGAATAAATCAATTTACCGGAAGGTAACTCTCCAGGGTAACTGGCAGCAGTAGTAGCACCATTTGTTGTAAATGATGTGAATGATGTGGTAGCGGTAGACTCTTCACATAGTCCCGTGCCAGTGTTGCAAGATCTTCCAGTACCACATTCTGCATCACTACATGTTCCACTACCAACTTCGTAAACCACATCATTGACTTCCAGTTTCCTCAAAAAGTGGGATATCATATCAATATACCTTGCTAATCTTTACTCTTCCTAAAAAACACTTATAGCTAGCTGCAGCAAGGCCGAATTTCCACCTAAAAGATTGTTGAATTGTTGACAATTGAGCTTCCTACACTTATTCTTTTACCTTCATTATCGCTCTCTCACAGTGTTGCTTCGTTTTTACCGCAGACAAACTCAAACGACTGTGTCAACCAAAACATTGCGAGCGTATCATAAGTCATAATAACGGGCTAAGGGAGTTTACGTGACTTCATGTGTGTGTGTCTGTCTGTTTGTCTGTCCGTAACGAAATTCACAAAGCGAGTTCCAGCAGACAGCTTGGGCTAGAATTTGGGTGATAGCATCCTATCAGATGTAAGTTCAGTGTGCAAAAGCGCAAGTCGATTCGATAAGCGGAACCTTTAGAAAATGTGCGCAAAATGGATCCTTGCGGCTTAGCCTCATAGTAAGACCATATCCAGATTTTTTGCAAAGTTGTGGATTTGCTTGGCATGTGCATCTTCAAGACAAGGCAATAGCGAAAAATTGTAAAAATTATGTTTTTTTGCTAGAAGGACGCCAAAAAAGAGATTGCTTAGATAGTCGACTTGTAAAGCGTTTACCTCAGTATTCAACAAGGAGATGTAACTTAAGATGGTCATTGACAAGCGATAACCTACTTGTGACCAATTCGAATTTGCACGTATTCCTTAGCACAGAAGTTTTCTTCCCCCAAAGCCACTGATATCATATGTGAAAACTTTTGGAATGAGTGGTTGTTTACAATTTACTCGTGATGGCCAGCATAGCTGGGAAAGTTTCAAGCCAACATTAGCGAGAGAGGAAAGCATGAAGAAAGTAAGACCAGTGCGAGCTTCTGCGAAGAAAGGTGACGCACTGGTTATTAAAATAATGGCTTTCGCCTAACTAACACGTGCAGGCACTTAATACATTATTTTAGGTACAGACACTTGATGATGATTAGACAAGGAATAGGATTGGATTTTTCTGTTGGTTTTTCCCTTCCGAATGGACGTACGTTTACATGAGCAAGAAGGCTGTCAGCAGTTCCGGGCTAAAGCTTTCTCAGAGAAACTATCATTAGCATCCGATTTGCAATCTCCTTGTAAATTCTCCAGTCAGAATTTTTTACGCGATTACACGATCACTAGTGTGTTTCAAACTTCCTCGGAGTTTTCAAGCACCTCTTTAGGAAACTTCGTATAGTATGATATATACGTTAAGGTGCAAAAATTCGGAACTTTTCCTCAAAACATATTACAAAAGCGTCAGCATCCAATTTGCATATTAAATCGAGCAATTGTGATTCTAATTTAGCATAGTGTTTAGAACCCGTCATAGTTAGCATTTTCATCACTGCCTACGAAAAAAAGGGTGGCGAGTGGCGCAGTGGTATGGGGCGCCGTTATAACAGGTCAGACCAAGATTCGTTCCCAACCCTGGGCCAACCAAGCGCTCTACCCTCCGCGGACTGTAAATTGCTACCAGAGTAACCTGTAAGATAGAAAGCAATGACTTGGTAATTGCCTGGCCCGCAAGTCACTGTGACGGGCCCGCACGCATTCATTAGCCTTTTCGATTACGATGTGGAGTGTAAGTCCGCGTTCAAAATACTAAAAGGAGGATCTTCATATTCCGCTGAGCCCTATATGCATAAGTTAAATTGCCTCTTTTATTGATCTACTTTGTCCCGGGCTTTTGTGAGATTGCTTGCAGAGGAGGGTGCAGGAGGGAGGATAGGAAGGAAAAACGTCTATTACCGGTTTAATTTGTTTAGAGCTCAACGGATATCGAAAAATAAAGCTCACTTTTGGTCTGTAAGACAATACACAGCAGTAAAATCTTCGGATTCATCATTGCAAGTCGTTTCTACACAACCGATCTTTGTTGTTGAAGCTCGAATAAGCTGGAAGTCAAATTTTTGACCAAGTGATAAACAACACTAGCATCTCACATTGAAGGGTTCCTCCAAATCCCCAATAATGGACGAGACTGCATTGCTTCCAACAGCTTTTGCTTTTTCAACATCATTCGTATCCAAATAAAACAGCCATTCGCTTATCTGATCAGTCAAGGTTTCGGTAATATCTCTGAAGGTGCATGACTTTATTCCATCAATTTGGCAAACTATTATTGTGTTTTGTTTTCATTGCTATAGGGGAAGGGGGAGGTAAAAAGACGAAAGTCTGATGGGACACTGGAGAGAAAAAGATTGCTTCAACAGCAAATAAAAAGGTGCACGCGCAAGAGCACTTGATTACCGACTTCTTCTAGATTTCTGAGTAACCAGTTCAATCATGAAATCTGTCGTTGGTTTCCAGAGGAGAAGGGCACGAAGAATTTTGTAAACCTCTACAGGACATACTTTTCGGTCGTGATTGGTCAAAACTTACCTAAAACCCGTTATCCATGCTTTATCCGTTGGCTGCTTAGTCACACATGATCCATCCACTGAACCAATAGCTTCCAATTCCAAACTGCAATCCCACTCCTGAAATTCATGTACCTTACTTGAAAATTCACAATCTAGCTTTGACACGAGCACTTCGCTTTAACGATGTGTAAAGTATGCGAAGAAAGGGTTCTAGAGTTTTTATAAACAAAGTTTATTTCATTACTTCAAAGATTGGTTTCTTTTCCCTTACATCGCTATAACCCTTCCATGCATTACAACAATTTATTGTGTATGCTAGGGGTAGAGGTTTCAAACAAAAACGTTAGTAACGCTGGTTCGAATCTTACACTGAATTATAACATTATTGACTACCTTTGCACACCATGTTTTGCACCAGATAAACTTATCGCTTCAAATATAGCTTCAATATTCCTCTAAGATTAGTGTCCGGACAAAATCACATTACCCATTTTCTGTTGTCTAGAATTGCCCGGTGCTAATCTCGATAGTGCCCTTTAAAGGCACCGTCCACTCAAATCCCCGACTTCCATGTTTTTATTCGCTTCCGGGCCTTCTGAAGGCCCTGATTTCGAATATGAAGTCGAGAATCCCAAAAACCCCTATTTTGGAGAAAGCGGGACGGGTGGAAGTGCAGTTTGCAGGGCTGCGTCGCGGTTATCGCCCGGCGTATATCAGCGCCGCAGCCCCCAAAGCTGCAAAATGGGCGGAGTGACCACCTTATCACGTATCACGTACCTTCCAGAGCGGATTTCTCGCTCCGGAAGCAATCTTTTGCGGGGAAACTTGGGGGTTGGCCTAGTGTGGGGGCCCGCATTAGTATGCCATTGAATCTCGTGAACCCTCACTTTGGGTGGACGGTGCCTTTGAAGAGCTTATGAATGGTAAAAGATTTTTTCACGAAAAGATTCTGTTAATGTTTCAAAGGCTATGTGGATCCTTTTTCGCCAATATTTGTCGCGTTTGCTTCTAATATACAGGGTGTCCCAAAAGTAAGTACACACTTTTCAATCGTCAACATCTCTCTTCCCAATGGGTCTTTCTTTGCCATTCAAGTACCATTCTGTAGAGGAGGCTTCAACTTAGATTTACAGTATCGATCAAAACACCGATCGCTCTTCGTTACTGTAGGATTACGGTAAGAACTTCCAGCATGTGACATCATTGTGAAATATGCCATCTGACAAAACTTTCTGCAAAAAATCTGAAAATGTCTACTAGGGGCACACGCTGATTTCACAAAACAACTTTTACGAGTGTTTTCAGCTTTTTTAAAGGTGTAATCACATTTCTGACAAGTACTGGGAATTCAGTTATTACGGTTCACCCGGGATAATTGAGAAAGAAGCATCACAGTAAAGCGGAAATTTCAAAATCGAAATCAGCGGCTCCCACTGCCGTAGTATAGGAATTTTTTGACTTGTTTGGTCTTGTTCCGAGGCAGAATATGGCCTCCAATGGGCTAAAATCCTTGTCGATCGTACCGTAATCCTACAGTAATGAAGAATGATCGGTGATTCGCTCGATACTTCAAATCTAAGTTGAAGCCTACTCTACAGAATGGTACTTAAATGGAAGAAAAAGATACAATGGGAATAGAGATATTGACAATTGAAAAGTGTGTACTTACTTTTGGGACACCCTGTATAAAGCTGAATGTGTGTTTGTTTGAGTGGGTGTCTATAAGTTTGTTCCGAGTTCAAATTTTTGTTTCGGACCGATTCGCGCCAAACTTTGCACACATACACTTCTAGGCGGGGTGGATGTCGTAGGTTTTTGGTTATCGATCGATATCGATTTTATCGATTCTGCAAATTTTGAGCTAGGAGCTGGGAGGTAGCAAAGGGGGGATAAACGAGCATGTTAATTATGAATATAATAATATTGACAGGGTCGGGCAGAGCCGGGTTTGCCAGCTAGTGTTATAGTGCATGCCCCGGCCAGCTTCCCATAGGTACCGCCGCGGCGCATGCGCAGCGCGCTGCCTTCCTGCTGCCTTTTGCTTTGTCAGTAAGTCTAATGCTCTACACACGCAGGCAATCGAGTGGGAGAGACCTCGTTATGGTTCGCAGACTTTGTGCGAGCCTGACGAGCGTAGCAAAACCCAAACGTTCTACCTCAAACACAAGCGCATTTGATTAAACGAAGATCGAAAGGCAGCGGGAACCTCTCTAATGCAGAGACGATAGAAGTACCAACCAAAATCGACCATAGATATTCGTTTTTTTTTGTAGAAGAGATTTGAACAAAAGATCCTCTCGAGATTACTCGAACACCAACTTTTAGCGAAGAGAATATGTAAAAACGAACAACGTTTCTTCTAACGTTGAAGTTAGGATCCATTGTCTTGATCGGCCATGCCTGGAATAGAGAAATTATGAAGAAACAACGATAAACAAGATAGGAAAACAAAAAAGAAAGCTCGTCGAAGGTATCAGAGGCGTGTGCTGCGTGCGCGTCGCGTTAGTACATATGGGAAGCTGGCCGGGGTCCACACTATATATGGTTTTCGATGCTAATTATAGTCACTACACCTAAGCGTTTGTTGCATTTGCATTTGTTAAATGGGTTTTGATGCTAATTACTAGTCGCTACATTTGATCGGCTTCATTTTGCTCTCTGTAATTCTAATAAACTTCTAAACTCAACCTCGGGTTACAATAGTACCTGTGTCTATGTACAACAAAAGCCCACTATGGAAACAAAGCACAGGATAAACTGTAATAAATTTCCTTGGGTTATTGCATTTTCAGGTCCATGATGAGAAATGTTTTTGCCTAATTTGAATTTTTCCCTACCTACCAAGACAACCCAAGCATATTAGCATACACGTAACTTCTCCGCCTAGTTTTGGAGATAGAATTACATGCTTGTTTCACTGAAACTCACAAGTTTATTCATTTTCTTTCCCTTCGGTAGTCCTGCTACATTTCCTTTCAAAACATTCTCTCGCTTGCTGTTGATTGGCTCAAGCACTTTGCTATCGATGTCAGCTTTTTCTAGCTTTCCACCAGTACAGAAAGCTGAAGTGTAAACTTATCTAAATCATCACGAGTGATCTTACCAAACCTGGTGCAACTGATGGTATCAAAGCCATCTGAAATGGTAGAAAGGTCAATGTTTTCAAACTTTAGGGGCAAAAGGAAACCCACCATGAAGAGCACAGTAGCTGTCATCGCCATGTCTAACGACTGTGTAATCACGGGAGTTTGCCCATGATTATATGCTTTCTGAGCAGCCTATATTTGCAATTTGGCACGTATTCTGTTCAAAGTCTGTTAGTCGATCAAGAATTGCCCAAATGAATTGCAAAAATTCATAGCTGTAAAATAAAGGTAGGATTAGAGCTGGTTTCGTAACAAAATCAGTACTTTGGTCTTGCTATTGCAAGTATTTCTCTTTGCTGGGCTTCTGCAAACGGATCAACTTCGAGCAATAAGCTTGGCTGGTAAACTGCCATTCGAAGCTCTTAAGAAAGTGTTCAAAGGTACGAGAGTTAGGGATTGCAAGGTAATTATTGATGTGTCGCATTTTGACATCCTCACCCGACATGGACTGCGTCCCGAGCTTCAATGATTGTGCGATACATCTTTTCTTAGAGTAGAAACTTTTCTATTTTACATTGTCATTATGACCTCAGCAATTTTTTTCGCCTCATGTCAACGCCATTAGAGCAACTTTTGCAAAAACAACAAGTAATCGCCGGTAATCGATTGCAAAAAAACATTTCAGATAATGAGTTGAACATTTTCAAAGGTAACAATGTTTTGTTTGTTTGCTCTCGCCGGTAATCGATTGCAAAAAAACATTTCAGATAATGAGTTGAACATTTTCAAAGGTAACAATGTTTTGTTTGTTTGCTCTCAAGAAAATTTTAGTTTTATAGCCCGGAAAAAGATTAGCTTCTAACGAAGATTTTGTCACCATTTTCCAAGTCAGTCAATAATTTCAGAATACCTAATGTGCTCCTAACTTCGCATGACAGCGTGACTTAATCTAATATGTACACATATGCGAGGACATTCTATTTGATGCGGAACTTATGAAAAAGTTTTTGATGTGAGATATTTTGTCTAAGCAAATGTGTTCTATGCTAAAGTGTCAAAAAACTTGGATCATTGGCCAAGCCTCGGACAAACCGTCAATAACGTCGTCTTTTTCTGGAGTCGTCGCTTGAAGGCGGTGAGAGCCATCATTGCTAGTTTTTCATGCAGTAAGACATTTATCCATGTTGAAAGCGGTACTCTAATGAAATTTTTTAGAGGGCATGTAAAGTTTGAACTCCTACAAGCTTTGAAGATGGGCTCAGAATCTTAGAGAATTCGAGAAAAAGTACGATTTTTCCATTTTTCTCAATAAAATGTCATTCATTACTTACTTGTTAGCTTGCTGATTGTCTGTGTGAACGAAACTCGAACAACCTATGTTTTTCGACTATGGAAATTCCCGAAACTGGTTGTTTATTATCATTATTATCGTAGACAACTTGACTTCCTTCCTTACTGGGGAGTTTCGAGGAAGGTCTGCAAATACTTTTACTCCGTCTCAGGAACTAAACGGAGTTTTGCAGTCGATTATCAATAAATTTTTCATCATTTCTTACATTATTATTGTCTAATGGTTTGGTCTCAACAAGAATAACTTGAGTTTTTGCTAGGACAGGCTGTTTCAATTTACTACAGTACTACAGGGTGTCCCAAAAAAATGTATCGAACGTTTGATCGTTAATATCTCTCTTCCCAAGAAGTCTTTTGCCTTGCTTCAAGTACCGTTTTGTAGAGCTGGCTTCAGCTCAGATTTGCATCATAGAATGAATCATCCATCTCTCTTCATTACTGTAGGATTACGGTAGAAACATGAAACATATGGTGTCAATGTGGAAAAACCTGCCGTTTCAAAATTTTTCAAAAAAATGTGAAAACTTGTGTAATAGGGTTTTCATGGACGCTGAGTTTAATACTCAACTAATCGCGAGATTACGAAGCCCTCTAAACGGTGTAAGTGCACTTTTTAGGAACATTGAAAAAATGGCCGCTACCTCTTACCCGGCATAACTCTTCAATTGAACATCATAATAAGTTGGGAACTTTACAGTTATAATCAGCAACTCAAATTAGCCTAGGTAAAAGTTTTGAGGCTGTTTTGTTTCCTTTCCGAGGCAAAATATGGGCTTTCATTGCTTAAAACCCTCTTTGAAGTTTCTGCCGTAATCCTACAGTAATGAAGAGAGATGGGTGATTCATTCTATGATGCAAATCTGAGATGAAGCCAGCTCTACAGAATGGTACCTGAAGCAAGGGAAAAGACCTCTTGGGAAGAGAGATATTAACGATCAAACGTTCGATACATTTTTTTGGGACACCCTGTATTTTGTTAGCTCAAAAGCTTGCATTGAATTCTTCTGCTTGCAAGGGAGCCATGTTTGTTCGAAGTGGCCTCTTTAGATGAAATATTAGGTTGGCACATAAGTTTTGCAACTTTTCCCGTAACTTTTTTCCTATTTTATGTAGCAATCTCATTTTGTGGCATCATGTAGATCGTGATGTAAGCTGCAAGTATGCGCAAATCGTTTGATTTTTCATAACGTAATAAAAAATCTAAGCATTTCTTGAAAACTGCTGAAAATCGAGGTTTCACGATTTTTTTGGCAAACATGAAGCCCTACGAAACCTGATTCAAACATATGAAAAAGCAATTATAGGCAGCATGTAGCTGGAAGTTGGCACATTGGAATCAGTGAAAAAGAAATGAAATTTGAACACAAATCAAGGTGGGGCGCCTTTGAGAAGTTAAACAAGTCAAATGCGTCAAGTTTTGAAGGCAATTTGTCAATAACTAAGCTGCGAAAAGTCAGAATTCGCTATAACTTTGCACTACGGGGTAATCCTATGCGGTAAACACGAATATTAAATTCATTTGTCGCTAAAATAAAATTCATCTTTTGATCTCATGAACGAGGCCTTTTCATGCGAAACGGATCTCACTTTTGTGATCAGCATGTCAAATAAGCCCTATAGGCCAAGTTTCAGCAAAATCTGATGCATTCTAAAATTTTTCCCATAAACCTACCGTAATCCTCACATAAGATGGTAAAATTCGGCAAGAATGTGTGCATCAGAAGCTTACATCATTTTCCTTATATTGCCAAAAATTGAATGCGCTAGGTTCAAATAGACAAAAGTTATATAAAAAGTTGCACTACTTATGTGTCAACCTAATATACAGGGTGTCCCAAAAAAATGTGAACACTGTTTGATCGTTAATAACTCCCTTGCTTTCATGTCATTCGCCGAGCTTGAAGCACCATTCTGTAGAGCGAGGTTCAACTTAGATATGTAGTATGAAGCAAAACTTTGATCCCACTTCGTCACTGTAGGATTACGGTAGGAAATTCGACAAGGGTTTTAGGCCGTTGAAGGCCATTTTCTGCCTCGAAACAGAAACAAACAAGCCAAAATCTTTTGTGCTATGGTAATGGAAGCCGCTGACTTCGAATATGAAATTTCCACTTTACTACAATGCTTCTTTTCAGAGTTATCCTAGGTAAACTGTAATAACTGACTTTCCAGCATGTGTCAAAATTGTGACTACATCATCAAAAAGGCTAAGAACACTCGTAAAAAATTGTGTAGTGGAATCAGCGTGCGCAAAAACCTTAATACACGATTTTTCAGATTTTTTGAAAAAATTTGGTCAGATGTCATGTTTTACAATGGTTCCACATGCTGGAATTTCTTACCGTAATCCTACAGTGACGAAGAGCAAACGGTGGTTCGCTCTATACTATAAATCTAAGTTGAACCTCGCTCTACAGAATGGTGCCTCAAGCTCGGCGAAAAACGTGAAAGCAAGGGAGTTATTAACGATCAAACAGTGTTCACATCTTTTTTGGGACACCCTGTATACCTGATGGAGAGCATAAGATACTGATTCCAAATTTGCCTTTCTTATCTGCGGAACATTATTGGAGGAAAAGTTACGAGCGTTTCGAGCAAAATCGTAAAATGAGTTTCTGAAATCCCTAGCCCTTAACTGAAGCAAACAAGGGAGATATAATTTTTTATCTGAAAGTTTATCGAATAAGGTGATCAGATAATCATCACTGCTCCACTAAAGCGTTAAAAAACACTACAACAACTATTTGCGCATGTTTTTTTGCTCTAATAAAAGCTCATAACTCCTCGTCCATAATGTTCCACAGGTAAGGAAGGCAGATCTATAATCAGCGTTTTATGCTCTCCAGTATGGTATACATTCCATCTAAAAAGGCCACTTTGACTAAACATGGTTTCCTTGTTAGATATATATAAAGTAGAATAGCTGATGCAGAACATTTAGGAAGGAGATGTATAAAACGGTCACAAAGTCCAGCATTTTTTACGCAGTGCTGAGCAAATGAATGTGAGAGAAACACTCATTGCTCTTTGGAAATTAAATTTTGTTTTTGAATTTGATCAACCTGCATCAGCATATTGTTTGGCTAGTGCCACCTGCGCGCAGTCTAGACTGTGGTTTCGAAAGGGAACATCAAGAAAAAAAGAATAGATACGCCATATGTGCACTTTGCACTAACAGCTTGAAAATGTTTGTCGCAAGTTCTTTGTAGGGTAAACAGAAAATCATTCGATTAGTTAGGACAATAAGATGAAGGAGGTAAGCTGCATTTGTACGCAAAAGGTAAAAGAGATTCTAGTACCTATCGATCTTTTAAAATATTGTCAGCAACTCGTCCAAGCTTATTCATCTTTATCGGAAATATAATCACAAGATGCCTGCTTACCTCAGCGCCGTACGAGACTCTATTAGAAATATTAGGTCGTCTCAAAAGTAATTTCGCTTTTTTCAAGCGGGCGCCACATTTGATGGAACAAAGTTTTCTAAAAAATCTTGGAAGCATTCGATGCAGAATTTCATTCTCTTTCTAATAGTTATGAAATTGTTGCAAAACAGTCAATGAGCTTTTAGAAAATAACCAAAATCTGCGACCCATGCTTTTTGAGATGATCAAGTTTCACGATTTTTTAAAACTTTTATATCAAACCTCCGAAAAAGTCCAAGTAACGCCTTTATAAAGCAAACCCTACAGAATGCAAAACTACTTTTTTCTCCTTTCCATAGCCTGTCATACATTTTTAACAGAATTTTAACTGATGCTACCGATTTCCATACTTGGACAGCTAAATCCTCGTAGAACATCAACAGAAGAGCAGCTCGCGCATTATTCGATGC